ATTTTTATCTTACATCTATCTTCTATATTTACTTTGAAATATGAATAGAGCGAATGTTTCAACGACAGAAAATCATAATTAATAAATTTATTTTATTTTCCGGTTGCAGCGCCCCGCCGCCGCGGTAAGTTGCGTAAATATCATGTTTTGGCGTATTTCTTGCAGCTGTATATTTTTTTTTCAATTACAATTAACCCCTTGACTACAGCAGACTTTGATACGCAGCGGCTGTACCATACGCTAGGAATTGAGTTACGATGTGCGCCATTTTTGTGAAAACAAGCGCCCTCCGTGTCAGAAAGCCAAACTACGTCGAGCGCCTATAGGCGCCCTGCGTGTCACAAACGTAAAATTTCTAAGCGTCTATAGACGTCCTATGTGTGACAAACGCAAAATTTCTAACCGTCCATAGGCGTCCTCCGTGCCACAAACGCAAAATTTCTAAGCGCCTATAGGCGCCCATAGTAGCCAAGGGGTTAATAATAGTTGTGCACAGTTTGGCGCAATTAATACCTGGCTATCCGATTGAAATACTGCAATAACACGCCGTTCTTATACACTAGATAGTCATAATTTGTTGTTTCCTATTTCGCTTTAATTCGCGTTAAATAGCCCAGTTAATTCCACGATGCAAGTATTTGGCGAATTTATTGAAACTGCACGGCAAATATTACTAAAATGTGTCCACCAGATTGAAAATTTTATCTTGGTGCAGCAGAATAAAACAAGTGATGCGATATTTTATATAGAAAACATCTTGACACCATAGTGTTCATGACATGGGTGCACATAAGGATATTTTCTAAGTTATACTTGGAATTATGCCTACTGTTACGTGTCAAATAATTAGATTCCTTTCATAACAAGCATATTCAAAATAGTTGTAACAAATAACATAAAAAAATTGGTAAAGTAACAATAATTTGTTATAAATTACATTTATTTGCTTATGACTAGTCATAATTTTTAAAATAGAATGTTTAAAAATTTATTCATTTTGTTTTTGTATAACGTATTAAATTTACCGGTTTTCAAATAGTAGTAATCGATTATCGAATAATAATAAATCTGGCCAAATAACCGGTTAACTGGTTTCGAGTATCTATTGTAGTCTAGAGCAGTGATTCTCAACGTATGATACGTGTTCAATAAATAGTACGTTGAATATTCTCAAATGGTACGTGAGCTGGCCGAGATTATGCGAAATTTGTAAATTATGTACAGTGAGATTTACTATAATCCATAGATATTACCTACAAATACTGATACTGTGCGTTGCAGAGAAGAAGTCCGCTGAGCCATAGGACCGAACCCCCACCCATTCTAACACCATCGCGGAAGTAGAGTAAACGCGTTTCTCTTATTGGCAGAAATGATCCCTTCCTATTAGCCTGATCATATAGCACCCTGTAACAAAGAAAGCGAACGAAACAATCGGGACAAAGTAAGTCAGACGCAAGAAATAGACGCAAAAGCGTAGACTTATCCCTCTAGCATTAACACGTTCGTCGCCCAACGCGATTCAGTTGAGTTTCTCGCGGGGCCCAAATCCTACTGTCTGAGCGCTAGAACGTTATCGGACCGATGATTTGGATGGGTCTAGTACAGACACCGCTCGTTAGATGTTGGTCAATGAACTCTATTTACAATTTTCCATTTCCTGTAATCGTTTTGAATTACTATCAGCAAACTTGCATTTCGCAAATAACCAAACGATAGAACAGAGTAGCAGACTTGGTAAAGTTTTACCACTCATAAACATATTGACAGACAATTACGAAAAATGTAAAAACACTACAACCTATTGTTCCAATTGTCCAAAATCACTTCAAATGTGTTTAGACTGTTTTAACGAATACCACGCGACATAGTGTAATGTAATATTTTATCCTAAATATAAATTAATAAAAAGTATAGTATAATGTGTATATTTTTCATATTTTTGTGTTGTATATCCTATATTTATAATTCAGTGCTTATTCCATTAAATTCCTTTCAAAAATCCAGCTGAAAATCCTATTTAACTTGAACAAAAAGAGCGTCACCCATATTTGTGTGACGGGGCCCCCATGGAAGCATACCCGTCACCCAGATATGGGTGACGCGGCGACGAACGTGTTAACTTCAAATTCTTTCGGTTAATGTTCATTTCCTAATTTTATTTAACTATACTTATATTTCATATTGAGTATGTGTTCGATATTTATGAAGTACAAGTGAAAATCATATTTCGTTTGTGCAGTATTGCTCCCATATTCGCAAGCTTGCAATGTATTTTATCCGAGCACAGGAATTTTACGGATATGTTACGCCTATGTTAACCTATAACGTTACCGAATCTGAAGATAGTGATTTCGGCAGTGTCATAGAAGAGTAGGGATTACGAGCGAACATGTTAGGCAGAGCGAGTGAAATACCCCGTTGCCCCTATGCCGAAACAGCGGACTTCTCGTCTGCAACGCATAGTACTGTGCTTCCGCGAGAAGAAGGCACAGCGTGCTTTGCATCCCTATTCCTGTTACAGTTCACTGACGCTCCTATGATCACATGCAGTGATCGCTATTTAGAAGGCACAGCGTGCTTTGCATCCCTATTCCTGTTACAGTTCACTGACGCTCCTATGATCACAGGCAGTGATCGCTAAGGCTGAAGACGGTGACGAAGATCAAGAAGGCTATAACAAGACCGAGTGGAACAAAATAATGGCGACATTGGCGTAGTCTTCCAATTAAAATTATAGCTATTAACAAACGAGTATTGTGTCATTATGCGCGGCTCTTGCGATTCCTCGCCTTTGTGGCATACCCGCAGATGGTGGATGCGGTTTGTACACTGCCAATGTCCAACGGAGAAATCAACCCAGCACAAAACTCTGTTGTCAGCCGTAAGGAGTCCGCTCCGAGAAGGTACTCTAAGGAGCGATTGCTCTTGGTGCACTTCAAGTCGAGCTGAATATAATTATGCAGTCGTTGGTCTCCATAGCCCTTATGTCACTCACTCTTCCGCACCCAGTGGCAAGCACCGTAGTGCAAGGAGACAATCCACTGGGTCCCAAAGGCACCATCGTGGAGGTGAGGTGAGTGGCCTTGACCAGTGTGGGCCCGCTAACTTCGTCGAAATTTGTCTCACCGTACCGTAGATTATTTAATACCAAACTCCATCGTGATTTCTGACCAGACACCAAAATCAGAACTCACACCAATCTGAGAGCTAATTTTGCGATTGATTTTCGATTGAAAGACTACACTGATGCTGTCATTATTTTGTCTCCGGTTTCACTATGACACACCATTGATCTTCGTCACCGTCTTCAGCCAATAGCGATCACTGTCTGTGATCATAAGAGTGTCAACGGATTTCAACAGGAGTAAGGATGTCAACATGCTGTGCCTTCTTCTTGTGGAAGCACAGTACCTATCTTGATCAGCTAGTTGAATGGTACACGAGAAAAGAAGGTTCAGAACCACTGCTATATAAGACAATTCAATGAAAAGGTTAGAGTCTAAGAAGATCTCTATAAACCAAGAATATTAACATTTTTGTAAGCCATAGTAATTACTAGAACTCAGTGTATGCACCCTCAATAGTAACAGATTCGTTGCAAACTTGACATAGCACATATATTAATGTAGTGCACTGATTGAGAAGCATTTTGGTAGAGGGAGCCATCTGCCAAGATTATGTTTCGAGATTTCGTAAACTTAAAAATTTTTCTTTTCGTAAAACTGCAATATTGAAAAGAAGCCTAACTTTATGTTTAGTACAGAATTAAACTATAGACTGTAAAAATGTGATAAATGGAAAAAGGGCCTATGTTGAGACATGTCCTTCTTCCGAAGAGTTCCTTAACGTTTGAACGCGAGACTCGTTTTCTCTTCAGCCTGATCCCTTTATTGACCTGCACTACTACTGGACCTGCGAGTCTGGTAAGGTGACAGTCGAAAAGAAGGCAGATTTGATAGGTCCACTTTCCCTAACACAATCATAAAGTTAGACGATACGAGTTTTCGTTGTTAGCTGGAAGTGTCGTGCCTACAAATGAAATTATATCGCATCGTTTGACGAACAGTGTGATCAGGAAACGCCGAGATCAAACGCTTGAGCTATAGAATATTGACGTAGATCAGTGCTAACTTTTCCTGCTTTGTGTTAGAGTGTCGACGTAATGTACGCTACTATTATGTCAGAATATGCCACTAGGAACCTGAAAGTATAAATTCTAAGAGCATTAAAGGTGCTGTCAGGCTCTTATATTGTTTCGACTGTCACCTTATCGGACTTATATAATGCTTCCTAGATAGGATACACGAATCTTCCTTGTCAACTTCCTGAATCTCTGACAAATCTACAACCTCATTTTTCTCAAAAAATCACGCTTTAATCCCAAGTATACAAAAATGTTCCAAACACCTTTTCATACCCATAGTGAAGAGCAAAACTGAATAATACATGACAAAAATTATCCAAAAAGATATTGTATCAGTGTAAAATGATCAAAGATTAGAAAATAATTCATTTTGAATTATTTGCTTCTTCTTATAATGCATATACAAAATTTTCAAAATTATTGAAATGTGTTCCCCTTGCCTGCAGTAATAAAAATTCGTGGACTACAATTTTATACTTTTAGAAAAATAATGTGATTTAAACGAAACATATCGTGGGTTAATGCAATAGTGATGTATATATTTTTGTTAGTTATTATAACTTAACTTCTGTAATTAATAGTGCAAGGAATAAGAGGTGATGAAAGAATGGTTTGAAGACACGGAATAAAATTTTTCATGCTATTTTATAAGGCAATAAAAATAGTTTCGAATGTGTCCATTTTGTAAAACAATAATTGCTGTTGTAAATATAATGTTTATTTAAGCTATTTTTATGTTTCTTGTTTATTTAAAATAATTTAAAGTAGAGACTTAGAGAAGTATAGCTTTGAAGATAGACAAATAGTTGAAAATGATTGTCTTATTTTTGATGATTGTCATTTTTTTACATAGAGTGCGTGCTTATGGTCCTGGAATCGAGTCAAATGGGCCAGTCATTGGAGTACCAGCTAATTTTACCGTAGAAACATTTTCTGCCGGTAAAGGAGATGTCGATGTTATCGTGGAAGATCCTGATGGAAATACAGTACCGGTAAGAATAATTTTCAATAATACCATAACTTTTGTGTGAAGAGTTAGGGGAAAATATGAGTAGTGTCACGAGTTTTATAGACAAAATTAATAAATTAATTTCCATGTCTTCGAAGTCCATCAGTAAAAAAACGAGATTCGATGGATTTAACTGTATTAGTATATTTATAAGCATAAGTTTTTCTTTTATTTAGTAAATCAGACAAAGAAGCGTGTAATCCTAATAGCCGTAGTTGTAATTATCAAACTATATATCTAAAGTCACTAGATGCACAATTCCCTATTTTTTCCTTCTATCTTTTATATATATTATGAACTAAATGATCAGTAACATGGACATTATTTATAATAATTTACAATTAATAGTTATAATTAATTAATAATTTACAATTAATAGTTATAATTAATTAATAATTTACAATTAATAGTTATAATTAATTAATCATTTATAATTAATAGTTATAATTAATTAATAATTTATAATATGATGACATTGTAAATAATGTCCTATTAATCACTTGGTTCATAACATATACATGTGCATATATATATAATAATAATATAATAATAGCATATAATATAATAACATATGTATTATTATATTATATCGATAACACGTTTTTAATACGAGAATTATACAGTTGCATTTTGTTTCAATTAATGAAAGAAAATACGTTTAGATTTACGTTAACAAGTTTATGGCAGATTTTCAAATAATATTTTGCTATTTTCTATCCTAACGTGAGAATTTTAGATACCTTAAAAATGGTTGTCCAAATCTAAAAAGAAATTTCGGTGACCTTGAAAATATTATACGAGAATGTACATATATCTAGGTGTTGCTTATTTCTCCAAAAATGGTGTATTATTTATTCCCGATGAAAACTAATCGGTATTATAATCAGGAAATTATAGTCAATAAATATTAAAAAAGTAAAAAATCGAGTGATTTGATTTAGGATTATTCAGACATCTTTGAGAATCTTTCATGAATCTTTGGAAATTATTTCGTGAAATTATATGAATCTAAAATATATTTTATGTACTTTTTATGAAACTGAAAAATAATTCGTGAATCTTTTTAGAATTTTTCATGAAATTTTGGAAAATTTTTTTATAATTTCTTGAAAAATTTTTTGTGATTGTCAATTTTCCTTGAACCCTTCGCAAGTATCCCTTGAATTTTACAAGAACTTTTTTACGTATCTTTCAAAATTTTTCCGAAGATTTGTCGGAAATGCTTCGATTTTGACGATAAGAATCGTGTGTAACACCTCTCTTATAATATTCATACCAAACCATAACAGTCAGTCGAAGGAAGTCGTTCGAGCAGTTACATGAAATAGTACCAGATTCGAAATAACGAATTCTATAGTCTATTGTTCAAAACATCACAATCGCTTCTTCATTCTTCGCATTCGAATCACGTTGCCCAATATTAATTTAACAGTCAACAATGATGATACAAATCGTACATCAGTACAAATAACGTTTGCCTCAATGCTTCACGAAAGAATACAATCCATCCAATTTAACTCATGACGACATCATAATATTATTATTCTAATACAAATCAAGTTCTGTAATGATTCATAAAACAATAAATAACTTCTAATCTAATTTTCTTTTGTAAATAAGCCTCATTAACATGAATTATTATTATTAAAATTATTATTAGAATTATTTCTGAGAATGTGATAATTATATACTTTAATATTAAAATTTTTAGTTGACCAATTGATCAATTTGACTTCTGTGTGGCTTTATGGTTGTTACGTGTGTTAAATATGTATTTATCTACAGTGTGGTTGACCGCAATCCCGGAAATTATAACATTTTTATCATAATCGCGAATTGATTATAAAACAGGATATACGTAATGTAATAGTTATTCTTATGGTATTACGTTTCCTTGGAATTACGTACTAAACATTTTTATAGAACTTAGTAGAAATTCATTTTCTTTTAATTTTAACTTCGTAGTAATTTAGGTCTTAAACTTAATTTAATAAGTGATTACTTATTACAGATTTATTAATGACATTATCTAATAAATAAACAGTAAATTTTGTATGTAACACATACTTTTGAAATTCCTTTGAAATTTTATTGCTCCTCAAATTCACTGTTATTTTTTATTTATTTATTTTTGCTATTATTTACTATTTATTACATTATATTATTTTTATTATCGTTATTTATTATATTATACTTTATTATATTAAACTTTTATTAATAATATTTTTTTCTTTGTCATATGTCATATTATAATGAACTCAAACTCATTAAAAATTAAATATTTTGCAATTTTTTGTGATATGAATTGTTAGTCTTAAACTCATTTCTTCAAAGTTAAATTTAAATGATAAATAATGTTATTGAACGTTGTTTTTTGCATGTAAGAATTATTATCAAACATGTATTGTTTTCTTCATTTACATTATATACAGTGACTCTAGTTTACCAAGTCTGTACAAGTTTTATGTTGGTATTTCATTGAAAAAGATGAACATGTGATATTTATCTTGATAAGAAAACAAAAAGATGTATTTGAATTTTAAATTTCATAAATTATATCATGAAGATTTTAATCAAATACTAACTCTTTTTTACTTTGAAATAGTTGTACAAAATACTTATGAAGTTATAAGAACTTTGTAAAATATTAAAGTGATTACTCTTCTTATAGGTTGACGTTAAGTTCAACAAAGACAAGAATCTCACCTATTCCATCTCATATACTCCAAAGAAAGAAGGACCACACAAGGTAAAGGTGCTGTTCGCTGATAGAGAAATTCCTAAGAGCCCATATAGGGTCAACGTAGAGGCACAAGCAGGTGATCCTGGTAAAGTTACAGCAAGTGGACCAGGATTACAACAAGAAGGAGTTAAAGTTAACAAACCCACTTTCTTTGATATATTCGCAAAGGATGCTGGACGTGGTGTACCAGAGGTTATCATCCTTGAGTCACAGGTACTACTGAATAGAATTTTACAATTTTAGCACTTACAATTTTAGTTTTAAACATTCAGAAAGTAAGACCTTCAAAGAAAGTCTTAAATTGAAGAGGTCGAAGAAAGTTTTAATTGAATTTTAATCATAGTACTGAATATATGTTTTATATATAATAATAGGTAATAGGTTTTAGTTATAGGTTGTACTGAATATGATGGCACTATTGTTTGATAGAATAATTTGAGTGACCTAGAAGGCTCAGAAGAATTTAAAGAAATTGTATTTGAACATGGATTTGAAATTACCAGATTTAAATGGAAATAAATTAAGATTTTCAGTGGTCTAATATATAGACCATGTGTTTGTAATTTTGCATACAAATTTTTATAAATGCAAAATTTTTATTCCTATTTATTTATTCATTTATTTAAATTATGCTTCATTTGAATAAGGTTTATTAAAGAGTTTAAATTCTTTTAATACAAGGTGGTACTTTAAATGATAATGTAAATTTTGTTTGTTCATTTGACTTCCAAAATTAGTTATATTTCTGAATATGAATAATTAAAGTTTGATATGCTCATGTATTAATATCTGAAATTATAGTGTATGAATAATGCTGATTAAGTACAGAAACTTGATGGTGTTGTATACCATATATGTGAAATAGTATAACATTAATTCAAGAGTAATTACATTATGTTTAATTAGAAACTATTACCATGTATTTAAATTTTTTCCATAAGAATTTTCAAAAATTAGCAAGGATTATTTTCCCACACTTGTGATAATTTTTCGAATAATTGAAAATTTGAAAATTGGATAATGATGTAAATTAGAGCTCTACCCGAGTTATTATATTTACCCAAGTTGTTTAATTTACAATACTGTAATTATTTGAATTATTTAAACTACGTCGTTATAAATATTTAAGTTATTTAAATTATGTTAAATTAAGCAAAATGTAACTACTCAAAATTAATACTAGAAACTGTGTAGAATAATAACTTTAAATGTAGGTAATTTAGAAATAAATAATAGCTAAGGCGTTATAAAATATATTTAATCATGTTTGTAATTAAAAGATTTCAACTCTAAATTTTCTGATTTTAAACACATATTTCTAATTCTGATTTGTAGGATGTCGACTCAATGATACCTGTGAAGTTAGTTCAAACCTTATTTAATACCTGGAGATGCGAATACACCCCTACAAAAGCGGGTTTACACACAATAAATGTCTTCTTTGCCGGCAAGTTAATACCAGGAAGTCCCTTCAGCGTTAACGTGGGCTCGGTATCAGATACTAAGAAATGTAAAGCCTATGGACGAGGACTGGTACCCAATGGAGTACGTGTCCAAGACGATGCAGAGTTCTTTATCGTCACGAAAGATGCCGGCGAAGAAGTACCTGGAGTCAAAGTCATTGGTCCAGGAGGAGTCAGTCAACCTGTACAGTAAGTAATTTTTATTTTTATTTCAACTATAAAATCTCGATTTAACACATGAACTACCATGATGGAGTTTCTGAATCTAACCAAAAATATCAGGTCATTTGAATTTCTGTATTTTATAAATTTTGAGGAGTATATAATATATTTGTATTTTTGAAGCTTGTGATTCTTGTTTGAAGAAGAAAATTGAAGTGAGTTATCTCATAGTTGTTCTCATTAAATGGAAAAGAAGATGTTAAAGAAAGACCAGTTTTGGCATCGTTTGGAAATAAAAAGTTTTGTATCGTTGGAAAACTTCTTGTTTATTGTTTCGACTGGTCCCAGGCATGCGAAGATATGAGACCCATCTTCAATGAGGTTAGGTGACGGCATTTGGGATTCGACCAACAAGGAGCCTGCGAGAGGTCAGCACAAGTCCACGTGCGTGGTACCCTTAGACTTCAGCGAACTATGGGACCATAAACGGATATTTTTTGGACGCGGCCATTTTCAACAAAGTCATCCACGTACGAGTGACCTTCATGCACCTCTGAGTGAAGGGGTTCCTCCACCACGGTCTTCGATTGAAGGACGTTTTCCTCTTTTTGAGGTGACCGATTCGTGGACCGAAGAAACGTCCTTTGTCCCCTTTAAACAATCAGAGCACCGTTAGCTCTTTAGGGAACTCATGATTTTTCTTAGTTCGATCACTCAGAAAATCGAGGAGTCAGTCGTTCTTACGTCTTTCAGTTCTCATTGAAGACGTAATTCAGATGTCTGACTATCTAACGTTTGACTATCCTTAAATTTCTTGTGAAACGTTGATACCGTCGGTATTCGACTCGGTTGCAGTCTAGCGTTCGACAGATCTTAGCTATTCTTCTTGCTCACGATCATTGAACTGGTTGCTCGATATTAATTTAGCGGGCAACATTGACAAAGCGTAACATGGCGAATTTACGACCCGCCAGAATTCAGCGAAGAATTCAAACGCGAATGATGGCAGAACTGATGGGAAAATTGTGAAGAATGAGTCGAAATACGTGGAAGCCAGACTGATCGAACATATCAAGCGTCATGTTTCGTCCTCTTGCTCTTCGATACTGACTCAGTAATTAGTTTGTGGAGTTTATAGATGGTTGAATGTCTTCTGTCTTCCTCGCTGTGTTCGAGTGGAGTGCTTGGTATGAACTTCTGTTGCTTCTTGTGGTTCCTACTGATGGGATCCTATGGTGCACGTGACTATCCTTCAAGTAGGAATCCATCTATTGGCGAGGGTGAGAACGTTGGTCGCCATAAGTTATATAGACGATTATATAGCAAACATTTAGGGACTACATCATGAATCTAAAATTGATGCATCAGTTTTAAATGAACTATTGTTAGAAGCCGATACGTGGAATCAATTTGAAGCACATGATGTTTTCCTCGTGGATCGTGGCTTTTGAGACTCCCTGAAGGAAGTCACAAGAAGAGAATTCATTGCTAAAATACCATCATTTGCAAATGGATTTTGGAAACCATTGACAGTTGAAGAAGCCAATCAATCACGATTCTTTATATAAAATTGGCTTATGATCTAAGTAATTAATTGTGCGCATAAAAAGCTGTTTTATAAATGTGTCTAAAATATTACATTGCCCATCTTATTCCATAACTTCAAAATAGCTTGTGCCATTCTAAACGCAATGTTTCATCCAATTCATACCTCTGGCCTTGATTACCTAATTATAGACAGGATTTTGCAATATTCCAATCAGATTAATTCTTTGGGAGAACTGGTACATATAGGAAATATGAACATAAGGCAAGCAGATTTCCAATATATAGGAGTTGTACAATTAGAATCTTACCAACATTAAGTTTCGAAGATCTATGCTTATATAAAACGGAGATTCTGATTTCCAAATTGCAGCAACATCATATCGCATGGATTATCAAAAAATTGCAACACCAATGTTGTTGCACCGCGTGGATGTAGATGAGCTCCACGCGGAGGGGGCAGCGATGGTATACTTGTGTTGCCCTTTTTCTCAGTGTGCCGAATCTTTACGAGACACTGAGCACTTAGGTGTTGTAATAAATCACAGTTTGTCTTGGTTGTATTTACACTTTATTACACGATTATGATTTGTTTATGTGTGATTGGTGTGTGTGCTGTATCGTCTCCGCCTCTGCCGTTTTTCGTCTTGTCTTTCGTCTCCCGTTTTCTGTCTTCTTGTTTTCTCCCAGCTATCGTCTTACGTCTTCGACTCCTCAATACCGTCTTACGTCTTCGAGCTCTAGTTCGCGTCTGATGTGTCTTGTCTGAACTCCAAAACCGTCTGATGTTTTCTGTGTGAATTCTCGCTAACGTCATCTGATGTGTTCTGTTTGATTTCTCCAAACCGTCTTACGTCTTCGACTTCTCACGATCGTCTGATGTCTTGTTTTATAATTTGTTGATCCTCAAGAAGGACGGTGAGGCGCGTCGACCAAGTATTATTGCCGTCGCAACAATTGTATCGCATGGTTTATCAAAAGTATCAAGTCATCGTAGAACCAAATAACAGCATTTTACTGAAAATGAAAATGATTCCACGGCATTTAAATGCTTTAAAATATTTTGTATACATATTAATAGATACAAGTAAAGTCGTACTGGAAGCGGAACGGCACAAACATGTGGATGCAAAGTTGGAGAACGTGTTGTTAGGTACTCTTCCCATGTAACAATATTTCTGATATTTTGGTTTTGCTTAATTCAAACTTCCAGTTCATTTGCCAGCTGAAATCCTCATTGATTATTTCCAAGATGGTCCAGTATCAGAAGAAGAAGACGATGAAACATGACGCTTGAGGATGTTCGATCAGTCTCATTTTCGGTTTTTAACGGTCTTGAAGGAATTTTTTATTTCCAGACGATGCCAAAAATGACATTTGTTAACATCTACCTTTAGATTATATACGGTGCAAGAGGGTTCATAGAAATCTCTTAAATATGAGATAGCTTGTTATGGTCTTTCTGGGTTAGACAACCAGATATAAGTTAGCTAGTAGTTGGTACTCAAAGTATTAAAATCCTTCATAATTACAGTTATTTGTTGTTAATTATGGTATATTTGTGACATATGTATATTATTGGTCTTATATTCTTCAATATCTTGTATTATTTGTTGCAAATTTATATTTTATTATGTACTTAATATTCTAAATCCCTAATCAATGTTCTTATAGATCTCTGCATAACTTGTTGGATGTATTATATGAATACAAGATGCCTTAATACGTTGATTTCAAATTGATATAGCTATTCTAGAGATTAAATAGATAAAAAAGTGTGTTTTTGGAACCATATCAAGAAAGTATTCAGTATCATTATATAGGATAAAAGTATCATTATTCATTGAGGAATAAATGTGTTTTTCATTCTTTTTACCCTATTGCTTGTTGATAAACAATTTTGTACTAACAAATTGTGACATAATTACAATTTGCAATTGTATTTATCCTCCTTTTCAAAATTTCATAACTTATTGACAAAGATAAAACAAAATGTAAAACTTTGCATTTTTTAATAATCTAAATTGTTTATAAACAATTTTATTATTTATAGTCATAAATTGCATATATACAGTGTCCTAAAATTAATTATTAAGGTAGTGAATTTATATGAAGAAACAAATCAAATATGTTTCACTTTCCAGAAAATTAAATTTAAAATCACTTAAACTGCCATAACTTTGGCCAGCAATAAGAATAAATTTCTATTACACAAATTTCCTCTAATATTCCAGCAATTTATGACTTATTAATAGATAGATTTAGAGTATAAGCTAATTTAATGAACTATTTAAAAAATACAAGAAAAATAAAAATAAAATATATAAAAATAATTCCAGAAAGTAAACTCAACAACATCAAAAACAGATAAATAATGTTATATTTTTCTTTTTTTTCAGAATAACCAAAGTTGACCCGAAAACATACAAGTGCAATTATACACCAACTAAAGAGGGGCGCCATGTGGTAATGATAACATATGGTGGGAAAAATATTGACAAGTCACCTTTTGAAGTGAATGTTGGCCCTTATATAGAATTGGCAATCAGGGCCTTTGGTGCTGGTCTTCATGGTGGTATCGTTGATCAGACAGCAAAGTTCATTATTGACACAAAACGGGAAACTTCTGGTCTTGGATTTGCTATCGAAGGTCCTTCCAAGGCCAAAATCTTCTGTCATGATAATGGCGATGGAACTGCCGTTATATCTTATTTACCAACTGCACCAGGTCGATACGCAGTTCATATACGATGCAATAATGAGGATATTCCTAAATCACCATATATCGCAAATATTTTACCAAAAGCTGATTTTGATGTTGACAAGGTTTGATTCTATTTCTATATTTGACAATTTAACAAGTAAATTCAAAAATTATCAACCTTTGTACGGAAATTCCTTTGTCCTTTTTATATATTTAATAATTGTTGGTAATTGATATCAAATTTCTAAACAAAAACAAGTTATATTTATAAAACCTATGGATCTACTTGATTAATTATAACATAATCAGTTTAAAATTTTTATTTGGTGGAATTAGGTGATGTTATCCATAGGGTAGCATTACATTTCACAGTTACTATATAAAGCTATGAAAAAGATACAAAAAATGATAGTAATTTCTGTATTTATAACAGTGTAGAAACAAAGATATCTCTAGCAACACTTTCTCTTAAATAATTCAAATATCTCAAACGATACGACTCAACAAGTCTAATGATTCTATAAACATTCTTAAACACTCTTGAACTCACTAATGACTGAGAAAATATCTTTCTTATCGCCTTTCTCTCCCATACTTACATACTCAAGCACCTTTAACTGCTTGAACCCCAAAAGAGTCAGTATTTCTATGGACCTCATGAAGGGGCTTCTTGTTAGGCTTGATTAGGCTTGATTAGGCTGAGGCTCTTGAGAGGCAGTAACCTCTGTCGACCCTCGAAAGTGAAAATCGCTTTCTCTTTTATAATTCTCATTCTGTCTTTTAAATTATATTCTTAGCTGTCTAAAATATTCAGCAATAGTAACTAAGTGAATTAAGCTACTTTTTAAGTTATTTTTGCATTCTTGTTTTTTGTAAATGTGTGATATTGGACTAGTCTTAAATTTCCATCTATGTAATTTTATAAATTTTGTACAAGGGTTAAATATATCTATGATGAGAAATTAGCAAAGTATAATTTTTAGGTTGAAGTATATGGACCAGGAGTACAAGCAGAATCTCTACCCAGTGGAAAACAAACGAATTTTACAGTAGATGTAAGCAAAGCTGGCCAGGCACCATTGGAAGTCATTGTACAAGATGCTCATGGAAGAGATGTTCCAGTTCGACTTGATGACAATCACGATGGTACCGTGCAATGTCGCTATACTCCTACAACTGGATCAAACCATATTATAATGGTAAAAAAATTTAAGATTTTAAAATTATTTAAGATACTATTTAATTTTTAAATCTGCTGATATGTGAGATTGAAAAATATTTATCGAGTTTATATAATCTTAAAAATATTAAAAGGATTAAATTAAATGATATTCAAGAATGATTTAAGCGGATTTATTTCAGAATTTGTTAACTGAGTCTACACCTCTTTGATTAATTGAAAAATAACATTTTGCAATGATTGTTTTATGACAAACTGAAATAATTTTTTAAAGTTTAATAAAATTAAAAAAAAAGTTCTTTATTATTTTTAGCTAATTATAGCACCTACTATTACAATAATAACAATTTTAACCGTTGTTAATTTCTAAATTAAAATTACTTTATAAATTGGAAACATAAGAATACTGTAATCAACATGTTTATTGAGACTTCCTTAGTATTAAATTATATAGTATAAAGTTAATTCCAATAGCGGATAAAGTTTCGATACTTATGATAAAATTAAACAAATTTTGTAAAATATAAGGAATTACTAATAAGAATACAAACAATAAATTAATAATATAGTTATAATACACTAAATATAATTAATGTTAATATTTGTAGGTGATTTATGGTGGTGTAGACACAAAACACTCTCCCTATAGAGTGAAAGTAGAAGCACCTTTGAATCCTGCTATGATATCAGCATTTGGACCTGGACTCGAAAAAGGAGTCAAGTCAAATACACCAACGCATTTTAACGTGGATTGTCGTGAAGCTGGCCCAGGTGAACTCCGTGCAACCATATTAAATTCAAAAGGAAGGGAAATTCCTTTATCACTTACGGACAACCACGATGGTACATACACAGTTGCGTATATTGTACCTGAACCAGGATATTACCAAATTCATTTTACTTACGGAGGGCTGAAAGTACCACAGTGTCCACTCACTGTACACGTTCAACCTCATGTCGATGTGTCCAAGTTTAAAGTCGATGGTCTTGCACGAAGTAAGTACAAAGTGATCTACTTTTATATTCTCGCCATTATCAATTTTTATGTTAAAAATATGATATATTTAAGGAAAAATGCACAGAACTCTTCAAGACACACACGTGCACACAAAATCTAATTCACTATATCTCCAATAGCAAGAAATTCGTAATATTTCTTAAAATCATATAGCTTAAATAATTTAATTTATTGGGGTAAGAAACAACACAGAAATATCAAAAGAAATTATTCAAATTTTTTAGCGGATCAACGTATATCTTTGTACTGAATTGGTTTTTAATTTCATTGTTATATTTTTCCAAGGATATCGATTAACGTCAGTGTATGATTTTATTTAACCATAGTCAAAAATTTCAGTAATGATTATGGCTGAAGGGGAATATGCAATATGAAATACTAAACTAGCGTTACCAAAAAGAGCAGACATACCAATAACATATGAATAATAAGAACTGTCAATATTTATAGGATATGTTTAAGTATGGATACAATTATTTATTTGAAACCCATCTAAGGCTTATTTAAATTTGTGGGAGAATAGTTTTTGAACTAGCTATTATTATTTAATACATGAATGTGTAGTACAGTGTCATTATGTATTCTGTGATTGTTTTTAATTTCAAATATGATTGAAATTTAGTTAATATTCATACTTTAGTTATATCATATTATATATCATATACTTCAAAAGTTTCTCTCAGTAGTGAGAAGAATATAATCATTTACTGGTTATTCCAGCAGACCACTATGAGGGACAGAAGGAACTTATCATCATAATTGTAAAACAATCAGTATAAACATATGATTATAGAGTTAATGCAGTTTGCATAAATTTCAATTTTATCACATTAGGAGTATTCATTTATAACAGTGTTATCTATGCATAAAATAGGTACTTGTTGTCTTTTCCCTATTTTAAAGATGAGAAAGAGAGAGAGAGAGAGAGAGAGAGAGAGAGAGAGAGAGAGAGAGAGGGAAAGATTAATAAAAATATTTAACTATTTCATACAATAATATGATATTAGATGGTACCTGTAGTACTATGAGATTGAATAGGTGTCATCAGAAATGCTTCTTGTAATCCTTCAACCATTAAGACTTGACAGAACTTACTCTTTACCTAGAAATATTTCATTCAATGATATTTGATCCTCAATTGTTCAACAAATTGAATTCAAAATTCTGGTTTGATAACCAGAATTTTTCTATACTACATTAAAACAGTAACAATATACAAATACTGCCTAGTATAGAAAATGTACAGACATCTAGTGACAACACTACATGTATTTCCTATTCGCACATTTATATATTTGAAATAAAACTTGAAAAAAAGCGGAAGCTAAAACTTGGAAACTAAATCCGTGTCGCAGCGGCTCCAGTGAACAGCTTGCAGCAATTTCGTGTGATAACGCAAGATGCGGGGAAAGCAGCAGACTTGCAGGTGTCGATAACCGCTCCTTCAGGGAACCGTGTGAAGGCTCACGTGGTACCAACTCACGACGGTTACTTGGTTAACTTTACACCGACAGAGCTCGGCGAATATCTCTTGGGAATTAGCTTCGGCGGAGAACCGATATCCAATCAGCCTTATCGACTGACTTCTGTTCATGGCTCTGACCCGGGAAAGGTTCGAGCTTCTGGGCCAGGTTTGTCACATGGCATAGTGAACAAACCAGCTGAATTTGTTATTGACACTCGTGGAGCTGGACAAGGTAGCCTCGGTGTTACCGTGGAAGGCCCCTGTGAGGCTGCTATTAATTGTCGAGACAATGGCGATGGAACGTGCTCCGTTGCTTATATGCCGACAGAAATTGGCGATTATGGTATCAATATTACATTCAACGAGGAACATATTCCTGGCTCACCCTTTCAGGCTATCGTGGTAAAAGACACCGATCTGTCGAAGATAAAGGTCACTGGAAACGGCATTCAACCAAACGGTACCGTTTGTCGAGTTCTTGCGAGGTTCTGCTTTCATTAACAGATTTCGAGCGTTTTCCTTTCTCTTTGTGTGTAATAATATGTTAAGATGTAGGTTAATATAACGTTTATGACAAGCGGATGAAGTATATTTCTTTAGTTTATCTTGCAATATTAGGAATTATTTTCTAATTTATTTAGTGTTGTACTAATTGTAAGAAGAAGGGAAGAACTGATATAATATTTTGTTTGAATTTTAAATTTCTATGCTTATAAATTGCTTAAAATTTAAGGTTTAAAAATTATGTTACTATAAATTACTTAGAAACAATGTTACGTTTTGAAAACTATATTGTTTAGTTCCCTTTCTGAAATATTATGAACAAATTTTTAAAACAGTTTGGTGATTGTATTTAATATTTATTCTCTTTCAAAAAATATTATAAGTATCTTTCATTATTGTTATTTATCTAAACAGTTTCTTTAGTTATTTATGATAAAAAAGATACATATTTAAAATGAGGAACTTGATTAGATAAGGAGTGATGTATAATTGAGATTAATATCAATATGATACTTTAAAAATATTATACGATTTTCATCATATTTGATTACAAAATATGTTAATGATTATAAGTAACTTATTCTCTTTTGTACAATATGAAAATTTTGTGCAAAATTGAAATATACTTCATCCAAATAATATTTTAACATAACTTATACATTCTTCTTTATTCACAAGCACTATAGTTTGCAATTATATAAATGATTTTTATTTATCTTTATTTCCCTGTATTAAACAGTTTTATATCTGCACCAGGAAAATTGCACTCTTGCATGCTGTGTGGTGTTTTGTATTTATACTTTTGTAATGAAACAATCTAAAATGAAATATTACATTAATCCTTAACAAGTGCTGAAAATATTTTTTTTGTATCAAGGATATACATATGATGAGAAAACTAAACATTTGATGAGAAAGAAAGAAAGAACAAGATGGGAGTGCTATCATAAAATAAATCCTAGCAGTGAGGAAGTCTTCTTTTCTTTATATTAAAGAATACAATCAGTAACAAGAATTGGAAAGTGAAAAGTACAAATTTTAGGCCATATTTATTTTAATTAGGTGATATAATATATGTATTATTGGTTTCCCAACAAATTTTTGATATCAGAAACTAATGATACACACATGCACACACACACACACATATATATGCCATTTTTTTGTAGTGACTGAAAATATCAGTTTCTTTCCAAGATATATTGGTGTGTCATTGGTTATTTTAGATAGATACTGAATGACATACATGGTGTGTCATCGGTTATTTCAGAAAGATATTAACACACTTAATGCGTCCTTGGTTTCATATAGGTTATGACACAAGGGTTATCATTGGAAACAATGACGAACTAGCTACTGCATTGTTTGTTCTATAGAAATTATGAAAAAAAGTTCTGTGTCACAAAATGTGATGTGAATGACCTAATGATATTTTGTAAAAAAATGTGGATATAGACATTAAACCTGCCTGTTCACTGTCTGTTCATTTTTACAATATATATGTAAGTGTGTCCATATTGTCTAAGAAATGTATGTAAATAGATTACAAGTAGATATTTTCCTTTCAATGAAGTTCTGTTGAAATTAAATGAAAATACATATATTTAAGAAAATGAAAATAGTAAAACAATAACTATGATAAACATACAATTTATATAAACATATTTTATTTTTAAAAATATATTTAGAAAATTAAATAGATGGCGCACTTTATATATAAATGGTTTTGTATTTGATTAAGACTATAATTAAATTATAATTATACTACGAACTATACGAACTATTTATACGTAATTCTCGATTTTTTGCTACTTCAATTTCAACTTTGAGTTTTCATTTATTCTTTGACTGCTCATTTACTGAGTTCACTTATCTATTTATGTCTTTTTACACAAACTTTCTTTTTTGCTTTTTATAATTTTTATTCTATAGAATCATTTCTCAGATACTTTCAAGTATATCTATTTAAAATTATGATTATCCGTGCATTTCGAGTACCTACAATTAGTTTGAATATAGAAATATATATATATATTTCTTTCATATTTGTAATCTAAACCAGTGATTCTCAAACAGTGTTTTGGAAAGTATTTTTTTGAAGTATTTTTTCTTTATGCCTTTCTGTTCTTCTTTTTTTCTAATTTGTCAGATAGGAAGATAACAATACCTAAAATAACAATGGCCGTTCTGTATAATTCAAAATTATACCTATCTTTTTTTATTATTTAATATATAATACATTTTTTAGTGTAGAATTTTAATAATTAGTTTATATCTATCCAGATGATTTTTAATATCCGATACCTAATTATTTATCTGTTCTAATTTAAATTGTCAAGTAAATAGATGATGTAGGTAGTTATCTCTAATATTACTGTTATTATTATTATTAATATTTTTTTTTTTATAAATTTCTGGACAAAGCGAATCTAAATAATATGATTACATATTCAAAAAATAGTTTATTTCCAACTTATATTTAGGTTCTTTATCTTTTTATTACGGAGAAGTGATGGTTTGCATATTTTGTTGTAACTTTTATCATCTTATCTTTTAAATCTGATTTCGCGTATTACTATAGCAAGGAAATTTGAGTAGTTATAGGTTATAGGCAATCACCCATGCACTTCTTGTGGCGTGCCGTTTGTCGTTTGGTGTTCATTATTAATAATTGCTATTTTTATTTAGAGATTAATGCTATTATATTTTATTTTCTTAGAATAGCATGACACAGCAATTTATATTTTTACCAATTTATATTTGCAATAAATATTTACACATTTGTACACGTATTGATGGAATAATATTGTAGTTCCATTTACTGCAATTCTCGTTCGCCAAATTTCATGAAAATTTCCAATTTCCATGATCTATCTTCCTCTTGCCATATCTTTAAAGGGATTCAAATGTCGAATTTAGTGATCGAATAAAAGCAATTTGTTAAATATGAAATTATATACATATGAATTATAGTCATACATGTATGTAATATTTTTATAATTTCCAGGTCCATGCGTAAATCGTGAAACGGAGTTCACAGTGGACGCGCGAGCAGTCGCGAAGACAGAGAACGATAACGACGAAGTTTCCTGCACGATTAACGATCCCAGTGGCGGTAAAATCGAGAAGATCGTTGCGCCACAAAGAGACGGAACGTATCGTGTCAGTTACATGCCGTTCGAGGAAGGACCCCATACCATAGACATACGTTATGGCAACGTGCCAATTCCTGGTTCTCCGTTCTCGGTTAACGTCCAATACTACAGCGACCCTAGCAAGTGTAAAGCATACGGACCAGGTTTGGAAGAGGGATACGTGAATAAGTTTAACTCATTCATCGTAGAGACGAAAGGTGAAGTTCAAGGGTACAGTACTATGCGTTGCAGACAAGAAGTCCACCGTTTCGGCACAGAGGCAACGGGGGTATTCCCCTCGCTGCGCCTAACATACTCGCACGTAGCTCCCACTCTTCTATGACACTACCGAAACCATTGTCTTTAGGTTCGGTAACGTTATTAACGTTAACATATTAACTATATTAACGGTATTAACGTTAACATAGGCGTAACCTATCCGTAAAATTTCTGTGCTCGGATAAAATACATTGCAAGCCTGCGAATATGAGAGTAATACTGCACAAGTATAGTTAAAAGTATAGTTAAGTATAGTTAAATAAAATTCGGAAATGAACATGCATTGGAAAAATCTGAAGTTAATGCTTTAGGGATGAGTCTATGCTTTTGAGTTTATTTCTTGCGTCTATTTCACTTCGTCTCGATTGTTTCGTTCGCTTTCTTTGTCACACAGTGCTATATAGTTAAGCTAATAGGAAGGGATCATTTCTGCCAATAAGGGAAGCGTGTTTACTCTACTTCTGCGATGGCGTTAGAATGGATGGGTTGGTGGTCATTCGGTCTTACGTTTTGCTCAGCGGACTTCTTCTCTGCAACGCACAGTAGAGAGATCCATGATGTAATCATGTACTGTACACAGCTGGTAAGTTGACAGTTGGGAAGACCGTGTCAACAATAGATTGCTTTTAGTTGGCAAGTTTACTTGGAATAGTCCACTCTTTTTAAAACATGAAGATTCGATAGGATAGAGATTTGTTTTACTATTATACTGTGTCAGAATATGTCAGAATATGAATTCATTAGTTTGGATTTCAGAAGTATTATAGATGGAGTATTTGTCTTGCCCTTGTGCAAACCCAACTGCCAATGTACTAGTCGCATACAGGAGAATTTGACTTTATATAAGTTGATTTTATATTTGAAAACAAGTATTAAAATCTTTTTTTATGTATTTTATAAATTTTGCCAAAAATTAAAAATTGATTTTTTACTTGTACTTATACACAAGTCTCCTAATTCTATTATTTATTTAAAATTAATGGTATAAATACAATTAGAGTAACAATAATTTTGTTCATTTTGACTGACTTTTTGTTAAAATGTTTTCTGAGGTTCAAACTTTTATTCAAGAGGAAGAAATTCTGTACTTTCTTTTTAACATTAGATTAAATTCAATCATCCTAATGTATCTTTATGTATTATTCTTTACCTTTAATATGAGTATGCAGACTACATTGCGATAAAAACTTGATGGTTTTAGATAGATGAAATTGTCAATGCATTTTTGAAAATCCTATATTATAATGATAATAGTTGTTAATTACTATTTACTATTACATGTTCATTATTCCATACCAGTGATTCTCAACCTGTTTACATAAACTGAACTAAATTCTATAAAATTGTTATATTATGTACAGTGGAGTATATTTCAGTATACTTAAACGATACATGATTGATCACATTTGGTTGGTGGCATGCAACAAAATGATGTTGAGAACCGCTATTCTATAATTACTTAATTATTCCATTATATTCTATCATATAAGGTCAAATAATATTGGAAAAATAATTTTGAAATGTTTAGATGCTGGGAACGGCGGTCTAGCTCTGTTGATGGAAGGGCCTGGTTACGCAGAAGTAACTTGCAAAGAACGTGACGACGGATCGTGCACTGTGCAATATCTTCCACCAAAGCCTGGTGACTACGAGATATCCATCAAATTCGCAGAGCAACACATTCCTGGATCTCCCTTCCAAGTCCGAGTTGTAAACGAAGCAAGCAACGTGACTACGTATGGTGACGGCCTAACAACCGCAAGAGAGAATCTACCATCGAAATTCATAGTAATTGCCTCGAAATGCAAGCCAGCTCAGTTGGATATCTCGTTGAAGACCGACAAAGGACAAGTTCAGAAGCCATCGATTAAAAACTGTGGGAATGGATTGTACGAAGTTATCTATCAACCACCACCTGCTGGAAGCAATCTGCAAATTGGTATCACTTATGACGGAGAACATATACCAGGCAGTCCTGTGAAATTGAAGGTTTTGCCGACTGTCGAACCAGAAAAAGTTGTTCTCTCGGGTCCTGGCGTGGCACCTGTTTGTACAGCATCTTTCCCAGTCGATTTTATCGTGGATACCTCTAAAGCTGGCTATGGTGACCTCGAAGTTCAAGTATTGGTAAGTAACAAATTAACGATTTATTATTCAGAGTAGTGGTTCCCAATATAGATCACTTGTATTTCCAAAGATATACAATAGTTCCTACTTTATTGTCTTCTAAAGTCTACAGTGATCATCAAAATTTAAAACTGAGCCGCCGAGTATACTTTTTACGCAGTATTCTTGCATTTTTAGATAAGGTTTTGTATATAACATGAATTTTCTACGTGATATCGTATTCTGTAAGCTTTTCTGAAAGAAAACTATGGATTAGGAATCTCTAAATAGTTTTCAATTTGATTAAATCTTGAAAATATTCGTCGGTAACACGTATACGGGATTAGGTTAGGTTAGGTTAGGTTAGGTTTAAACACGTATACGGGGTTTCAACGCCTCGACACTATTGTAATTACGTGTAGTTCGAGTACCAAGTGCAACAGAGCTGGCATATAGCAGTCTATGAAAAAAAAGAAGAAAAATACAATTTCGTTGTAAAATTGAGGAAAACTGAGAAAATTTAAAAGAAATTTTGAAAAATTACAATAGGTAGCAAATATTTTAAACTTAGGCAATTACTAGGTCTCACCATGTAGAGGTGGCTACGCATAAAGACTCTGGTCTTAGGGGCCTTAGAATACTATGCGTGGCTGAAAAGAAGTCATCTGAGAAACTTGTAGGACTGAATCCCCACCAACCCAATCATTCTAACGTCATAGCAGAAGTAGAGTAAAGCGCTTCCCTTATTGGCAGAACTGATCCCTTCCTATTAGCTCGGTCATAGAACGCCATGTGACAAAGAAAGCGAACGAAGCAACAAGACAAAGTGAGACAGACGCAACAAATAGATGCAAGAACGTAGACTCATCCCAAAAGCATATTAACTTCAAATTCTTCTGACGAACATATGATTATTTGCAATTACTAATTACTAATTAGCATCTCGATTAACTTTTCATTGCATTATGCAGCAAACGTGATGTACTATACACATATTTTTTATATTTATGTTGTATCGTATGATGTTTTTAAACGGTTATCTAGATGCAATTATATAATTAATTTATCATAAAAAATACATCTTAAATTTTAAATCAATTTTCATAAATGATGTTAATTATTATTACTTTTGTACTTCTTTACTTTATAAATCTTTGAGCTATTGTCATCTGATTCCCTATCTGACTTACTGCTTTGTATTTCCAATTCTAGGTCTTCAGTTGCGTCTTTTATTATTCCATCTTTCGTCTAATATTCGTGTTCCAGTGTTTCTACATGTTTACAAAATCCTTTCCAATCATTTGATGTCGTTTTGTTTATTGCCTGGCGTAGTAGTGCTTCCAATTCATTGTAAGTTGACTCTGAGATAACATTTCTTTCGTGGATATCTTACTCCTATGTTAACGTATCACGTTACCGAACTTGGAGATAGTAGTGTTGGGAGTGTCATAGAAGAGTGGGTATTACTAGTGGAATACCCTTCTTGCCCCGCATCCGAACGAGATGACTTCTTTTCAGCCACGCATAGTAAACGCCCCACTGGCAACCTTTTGTACTAAAAATACTCCTGTCTAACATGGAGCAAAAGCTAGTGACACTATGTATGTATAAAAGGGAATTTGGATCGGCATACTAAATTTGAATATTCTACTTAGAAAAATTCACATTTTTCGGAAACTAAGAGTGATCGACGAATTTTAATTTCGGATTCGTGTCTATGAAAGTAAACATTACAAGAATTAGTTAATGGATATTACAGATGAGAGAAAAAGTTAAAATTTGTTGGAGAGTGTAATTGTTTGGCAACATGACAGCAGATAACTATACATCCTACAGTTACAAGTTTGAAATAACAGCAACTATATAAATTATAATCATTCCTCTAGTATTGCAGCGTAGAACGTAAAGAAATTAGCTGTATGCAAATTATGCAAATTAAAAAATGTTGGGAACCACTAACTTAATGTTAGAAGATTATTTTTCAAATCATTATAAATTAAGACAGGATACTTTAAAACTCTTGAACTCTCTTTTGTATAAATCATTTTCAAAATATTGATTTAGCAAAGGTGGATTGTCACAGCACGTAGTTTAAAATTTGATAATCTTAAATTCTATTATGAAAGGTTATTTAAAGAAAAGTGTTTGTATATCAAAACATCTAAAGATATAAACGTTATACTAGTTGAAATACGTTAAAATTTATTGATAGAAATGTAACAGTAAAAATACAGAAAAATCCTTCTTCAAAAAATAATAAATTTTTCCATTGAGTACGTATACACAATAATTTGACTAATATTCTCGCTAAGCTGCGCGCATGCGTAGATACGTACTGACGCAAGTGCTCTGCGCACGCAGAACGTTTCCCGCGCAGTGGCGATTCATTTGTTTGATATGTCAGATATATTTCGATATCTAGCATTGTCGAAATTGTGTACTCAGAGAAATAACAGTCAAAGGGGGTGAGGAGGGGGAAGAAAAGGAAACAAATGTCGGCTGTATATACCAACCAAAAGCTCGTGAATGCATTCAATCTTCCTTTTTTGATACAATGATGCAAAATTTGAGTGAATAATATCCTTCTATACATCAGGTAATACTAATGTTGGCAACATATCAACTCGAGGATTCATATTTCGAGAATGACTTAAGCAAAAGGATACGAGTAAATTATCTTTTGAAAATATTTTCATGTCAGCTATATAATCACACAGTAGAAGATATAATTTTATATTAAGCAAACTTCATAATTAAAAATTATATAAAATAAATATAAGGTAATCATAAACAGCAAATTTATATTTTAGTATGATGTAATATATAATATTTATTTT